GAACGTCTTTATCAGAATATTTTTGCTTCTCACTTTGGGCAATTAGAAATCATTTTTCTGTGGACTTCCGGAAATCTGTTTCATGTAGCTTGGCAAGGAAATTTGAGTCATGGGTACAGGACCCTTTACACGTAAGACCTATTGCTCATGCAATTTGTGATCCTCATTTTGGTCAACCGGCAGTGGAAGCTTTTACTCAGGGGGGCGCTCTTGGCCCAGTGAATATCGCTTATTCTGGTGTTTATCAGTGGTGGTATACAATCAGTTTACGCACTAATCAAGATCTTTATACTGGAGCTCTTTTTCTATTATTTCTTTCTTTCTATCTTTACTAGGGGGTTGGTTACACCTACAACCAAAATGGAAACCGAGCGTTTCGTGGTTCAAAAATGCCGAATCCCGTCTCAACCATCACGTGTCGGGACTCTTCGGCGTAAGTTCCTAGGCTTGGACAGGACATTTAGTTCATGTTGCTATTCCTGCAGCCAGGGGAGAGTCCGTTCGATGGAATAATTTCTTAAACGTATTACCACATCCTCAAGGATTAGGGCCCCTTTTTACAGGTCACTGGAATCTTTATGCTCAAAACCCCGATTCAAGCAGTCATTTATTTGGTACCTCCCAAGGAGCGGGAACTGCCATTCTAACCCTTCTTGGGGGATTTCATCCACAAACGCAAAGTTTATGGTTAACTGATATTGCTCATCATCATTTAGCTATTGCATTTATTTTTCTTGTTGCCGGTCATATGTATAGAACAAACTTTGGGATTGGGCACAGTATGAAAGATCTTTTAGAAGCACATATTCGTCCAGGGGGGCGATTGGGACGCGGGCATAAGGGTCTTTATGACACAATCAACAATTCGATTCATTTTCAATTAGGACTTGCTCTAGCCTCTTTAGGGGTTATAACTTCCTTAGTCGCCCAACACATGTACTCTTTACCTGCTTATGCGTTCATAGCACAAGACTTTACTACTCAAGCTGCCTTATATACGCATCACCAATACATTGCAGGATTCATTATGACAGGAGCTTTTGCTCATGGAGCTATATTTTTCATTAGAGATTACAATCTGGAACAGAATGAAGATAATGTATTGGCAAGAATGTTAGACCATAAAGAAGCTATCATATGCCATTTAAGTTGGGCCAGCCTCTTTTTAGGGTTCCATACCTTGGGTCTTTATGTTCATAATGATGTCATGCTAGCTTTCGGTACTCCAGAAAAACAAATTTTGATCGAACCCATATTTTCTCAATGGATACAATCTGCTCATGGGAAAACTTCATATGGGTTCGATGTAATTTTATCCTCAACAAGTGGCCCGGCATTCAATGCGGGGCGAAGTATATGGTTGCCTGGCTGGTTAAATGCTGTTAATGAGAGTAGTAATTCCCTATTCTTAACAATAGGGCCGGGAGACTTTTTGGTTCATCATGTTATTGCTCTAGGTTTACATACAACTACATTGATCTTAGTAAAAGGTGCTTTAGATGCACGCGGTTCAAAGTTAATTCCAGATAAAAAGGATTTCGGTTATAGTTTTCCTTGCAATGGTCCAGGACGAGGCGGTACTTGTGATAATTTCGGCTTGGGATGCATTTTATTTGCAGTTTTCTGGATGTTAAATACCATTGGGTGGTTACCTTTTATTAGCATTGGAAACACATCACGTTATGGCAGGGTAATGTGTCACAATTTAATGAATCTTCCACTTATTTGATGGGATGGTTAAGAGATTATCTATGGTTAAACTCTTCACATCTTATCAATGGATATAATCCATTTGGTATGAATATTTTATCGGTTTGGGTGTGGATGTTCTTATTTGGACATCTTATTTGGGCTACGAGATTTATGTTCTTAATTTCGTGGCGTGGATATTGGCAGGAGTTGATTGAAACTTTAGCATGGGCTCATGAACGCACACCTTTGGCCAATTTAATTCGATGGAGAGATAAGCCAGTGGCTCTTTCCATTGTACAAGCAAGATTAGTTGGATTAGCTCAATTTTCCGTAGGTTATATATTCACATATGCGGCTTTTTCTTGATTGCCTCTACATCCGGCAAATTTGGTTAATTTTTGTGTTGCCTTCACGAGAATCTCATTTCTTTGGATGGAGAAGGCAACCCCCTTTATTATACACTTTTACATCTAGGATCCAACTTGTATCATTGATACTAATAGGAACTGAACCATTATGGTAAGGAAAAGTTTGATTCAGCGGGAGAAGAAGAAGAAGAATTTGGAACAAAAATATCATTTGATTCGTCGATCCTCAAAAGAAGAAATAAGCAAAGTAGCATCGTTGAGTGATAAATGGGATATTCATGGAAAGTTACAATCTCTACCACATAATAGTGCACCTACGCGTCTCCATCGACGTTGTTTTTTGACCGGAAGACCGAGAGCTAACTATCGACACTTTGGGTTATCCGGACATATCCTTCGTGAAATGGTTCATACATGTTTGTTGCCAGGGGCAACAAGATCGAGTTGGTAAGCATAAAAAAAGATTTTCATTTCTATGATCATCATGGATCATAGATAGACCCTTTACCATTCTGTACAAATGGGGTATTCTATTTGTACAGATAGGGTAGAGGGCACATTCCTTTTTTGTTTGTCCATTCGTTCCCAACTTTTTTTAGACGCGGGGTAGAGCAGTTTGGTAGCTCGCAAGGCTCATAACCTTGAGGTCACGGGTTCAAATCCTGTCTCCGCAAAATTTGAATTTTGTCCAAAATTTTAGGTTTGAATCTGTTAACTAGTAAATTAACTAAGTAAAATACTAAAAATATTGAAATTAATTAAAATTCAGATTTATTCGGTTTTCTTTTTGGGGAAGTGAGAAAATAAAAGAACGCGAAGGATAGAATTACTACGCTATTGGAATCGACTATAACTATAACCAAATTCTTTATCATAGTAAATAAATTTACTTTCCCTTGAGCGGATAGCGGGAATCGAACCCGCGACTTCTCCTTGGCAAAGAGAAATTTTACCATTCGACTATATCCGCATTTTTTCCTTCTTGAGAAGGAATATGTCCCTGCATAGGCATAGATATATAATATATGTCTTGATGATATTTGTGTAGAGTCGGACCAGATACTCACTTCAAGTTGATTCCAATTAAATTCTTAATTTCTTTATTTATTTGATTCACTTCATTGAATTTGAAGAAATTTCGGTTTGACCCCTCCCTCTAATTTTTTTGTTTTCGTTATTTGTTTTGTTTGTCTTTTGGGGAACTTTTTAATTTTATTGTTATATTGATTAAATTTTACTGTATCTCACAACCCAAAAGAATTCAAATTCGGGGGAGGGGTCATTTTTGGATCTGGAACAAATAGGTTCAAGAGATTAGAGAATTAAGGATAACCACCAGAAAATACAAAATTTTTGTTACTTAACCAACCGTCGGGAGAAGCAAATACAACGGGTACGCTAATTAATAAGATTGATGAAGTAGCAATTAATGCAAAAACAGCCAATTGAAAAGCTATAGTCATACGTATAATCCTCCAAGCTATCAACAAACAAACTATATACCATTTGATCCTCTTATCAGTCATTGTACTATAAAGTAATAAATGTATCACGGAGGGATTTTAGACTATTACCATGGAATTCATTGATTCTATATAATATCATTTATTACCGCTTTATTCCAAGATGGAACTGCTGGGAAATTAGTAATTAATAATTAAATTAAGTACTTAAATGGGCATGATAGATCATTTATATATAATATACAGATAAATGGATCACCCTATCAACTTACACCTAAAATTTTTTGACAATTTTGGATGGTATCAGCTCATAGAACCATGTTCTATTCGGGGGAATAAGAATAAAATAGAAATTGACTTATGTTGGAGAGATGGCTGAGTGGTTGATAGCTCCGATCTTGAAAACCGGCATAGTTCTTTGTTCAGAACTATCGAGGGTTCGAAAAATAACAGTGTTTGGCAAGGTAGCTGTTAGAGGTAGAGGTAGCGTTTAGGTAGCTTTTCTCAAACGTTAAAAATAGTAGCGTTTAAGAGTAGCGGATAGCGTTTTTTAAATTTTTGCTTACTTTTTTTTAACAATTTATATGATAATTAATATATTTTAGTATTACAACTGCTAATTTTGCCAAACACTCATACTATCAACCGTTATTTTGACAACTAACCTCTACCCACTATTACTCCTTCCGTTTTTAAATACTTGCTCCATTTGTCTATGCGCGGAGTGTTATGAGAAATTGGAAAGAAAACAATAAAATATGGAGGTAGTGGAGTAGGTGGAAAATAAAAAATTGTAAAAAGAAAAATTAGTTGAGGGAATTGGATGAGGGAGAATATGAAATAAATAAAATATAATTTATGTTGGGTCCACTAGTTAAGATAAATGAATTAAATATTGTAAAAGCTTTCCAAATAAGGAAATAGAGCAAGTATTTAAAAACGATCGAATATAGAAAGTGGAGCAAGTATTTAAAAATGGAGAGAGTAATTGATGACTACTCTCTATCCTAACAGCTACCCGCTACTCGACCGCTAAAAACTACCCGCTACCGCTAGTTTTCCCAAATAGGGTCGTAGAGCCAAATTTGGGGGGGGGGGATTTAAGGTAAAAAGAGCTAGATCTGAATAGAAATGGTTTTAAGAATTATTATCTACGAGATTTGCTCCCATAAGCAGTAAATTACAGCTTCATATTCTTACAGTTCTGAGAAGAATCCCTTTTAAGAATACTAAACTTAGGCAAGAGTACGTCTAATTCTTTTTACACGAAAAAGTGACGAACTGTAAAAATAAAGATGTAGCATTATATCTTTAAGTTTGTAAGATTTCGGGAAAAATCCTCAATATGGAGTGTGTACCATTGATCAATATATATTTAGAGTTTTACAAATATCGTAAACCTTGTACGATAAGGATACAAAATATATACAATTATTATCCTAATCTGCGACAAATATTATCATAACTATAATAGCTATCATACCCCCGCAGTCATAGCGGGAGGAGGTCGTACACTAAGAGTGGATCTAAAATCCAAAAATAACTCCCGTGGTAAGCCTTTCGTGAAAATGTCCGCAAACTGATATCTAGAAGGAACATGTAGAACCCGAACTTCTCCCAAAGCAACCTTTTCTCGAACAAAATGAATATCCATCTCCACATGTTTGGTGCGTTGGTGTTGTACCGGGTTTCCAGAAAGATAGGTAGCACTAACATCATTACAATAGACAATAGTAGCCAGTCGAAGAGGGCAATGTAACTCAAGTAAGAGATTACGGTACCAACATGCCTCAAAGACAACATTAGCGACGCCTCGATATTCTGCTTCTGCACTCGATTTAGATAATGTATGTTGACGCTTAGATGACCAAGAAATGAGGTTGTCCCCAAGAAAGCAGCAATAATCCGATGAGGAACGACGGGTATCGGGACAACCTCCCCAGTCAGCGTCAGTGTAAGTAATCAAACGATGAGAAGCAGATGGATATAAATGTAAGCCATGATCAATGGTACCCTGAACATAATGCAGAATGCGTTTCAATGCATCATAATGAGATTCCCGGGGATCATGCATAAAAAGACACACCTGTTGTACCGCATAGGCAATATCTGGCCTAGTGAAGGTGAGATACTGAAGAGCACCTGCTAAACTGCAATACAAAGTAGGATCCCGAAAAGGTGGTCCTGCATCTGCATTAAGTTTTGACTTAATGTCAACTGGCCTGGAGTAGCTGCAGGTTTACAAGAGCCCATACCCGCACGCTCTAAAATCTCCTCTGCATACTTTTCCTGTGAAAATAGCAAACAAGAAGGAGTACGGGTCACCGCAATCCCTAAAAAGTAGCTCATAGGACCCAAATCAGTCATAGGGAACTCAGTTTGTAACTAAGATATAATCTCTGCACGCAACCTGTCAGATGAGGTAGCTAAAATATTATCATCAACATATAGAAGTAAATATGTCATATCATCACCCTGCCGGAAAGTAAAGAGAGAGTTGTCACTTTTAGTAATGATAAAACCCAATTTGATCAGAAAGTTCGCAAATCGCTGGTAACAAGCTCTAGGAGCTTGTTTCAAACCATAAAGAGCCCTTCGGAGCCGGCAAACAAATGAGGGTGCACGCCAATCAACAAACCCTGGGTTAATGCATATAAACAGTTTCCTGTAAGTCACCATGTAAGAAGGCATTTTTAACATCTAATTGATGAATCGACCACTTTTTAGCCATAGCTAAACTTAGAACAATACGAATAGTGGCCGATTTAACTACCGGACTGAGAGTCTCATCACAATCCACACCAACTTCCTGCGACCTGCCATCACATACAAGACGAGCTTTGTGCCTTTCAAGGTCACCATTAGACGTGTACTTGTATTTAAATTACCACATACAATTAACAATATTCACCCCCGTAGGCCTGGGTACCAGATCCTAAGTCCCTGTTTTAATAAGAGCATTATATTCATCTTGCATTGCCGCATTCCAATTAGGGTCATTAAGAGATATTTTATATGACTTAGGGAGCGGTGATTTATGAGAAGTGATGGTCATATTTGCAGAGTTATAGGGGTTGGGTTTAAAAATTCCGTGTTAACTCCGTGTAACACGAGGTGAAGGAGATGGTGGTTGGCACTACTAGAAATAAGTCGATTTCCGACGGACTGTTTCTGACAGAAACGGAATTCCGTCGGAAAAGTCAGAAATTCCGACGAATTTTCATTTCGTCGGATATTCCATTGGAAATTTCCGACGGAATAAAAATCCGTTGGAATATAATGGTTTTCCGACGGAATTTACATCCGTAGGAAGATTCCAACGGAATATTCCGTCGGAAATTTTAATTTCTGACGGAATTAAAATCCTTCGGAATATTCCGACGGAATATTTCGTCGGAAAATTACATTTCCGACAGAATTAAAATCTGTCGGAAGATTCCGACGGAAAATTACATTTTCGACGGAATTAAAATTACAACACCAAGGTTTTTTTTGTAGATCTAGTTTTAGATAAGGTTAAATTGTAGATCTTGTTTTGTTTTTGAACATTTATGATTATAGTTAATTATTTTTGTAATTGAAAATTGTAGTTTACAAATTTATTAGATATTTGTAATGATAATAGTGAATTGTCGTTTTTTTTTTAATTGAAATTCAGATCTACTGGTTTAGATCTTGTTTGTTTGGTAATTTTTGTAGTCGGATTTTACGTTTTTATTTGGTGATTTTTTGTAGTCAGATTTTACGTTTTAGTCGGATAATAGTGAATTTTTTACGTTTTTTTTCGATTTGGTAATATTTTTTTTTTGTTTCGTTTTTCTGGGTGGGTGGGTTAGGAGGTTGGTTAGGTGGGTTGCTGGTGGCTCGATAGGGTGGGGGTCTGGTCAGAGGTGGGTGGGGGAGATTGAGTCAGGTGGGTGGGTGGGGTGGGGGAGGTTTGGGACAGGGTGGGTGGGGTGGGGGGGGTTTGGACAGGGTGGATCTGGTGCGGTAAGGGTTAGGGGTGGGGCTGGTTTTTTTTTATTTTTATTATTGACTTGTTCGATGGAATTTTCCGTCGGAATATACCTCTTCCGACGGAATTTTCCGTCGGAATATACCTTTTCCGACGGAATTTTCCATCGGAAACCTCTCCAACTCCGACGGAAATTTCTGTCGGAAAATTGCGATGGATTTTCAATTAAAGTCAAAAAAGCGCCAATAGAATTAAATCCGTCGAAAATTCCATCGGAAACTAGGCTTCCGACAGAATTAGAAAAGGTCAAATTTCCTACAACGGGTTTTGCGACAGACTAATTCCGATAGAATTCCGTCGGAAGACCATTTTTCGACGAAATTTCTGATGTTTCCAACGGATGTTTTCCGTCGGAATCAAGTTGTTTTCTTGTAGTGTGGGTAGGCCGAATTGGCAATATACCACGTAATGGAGGGGGTGTATAGGTTGTGTTATGTGATGGTGGAGTAATGGGCTGGTTAGGGGAGGAAGGCCCAATAGTTGGAGGGGGTTGTTGGTGTGTCCACATAAAATTAGAGGGAGTAGTATTAGATTGTGGGCTGGAAGGTGGGGGAAAAATGGGCTGATTTGGTGATGGAGGCAGATCAGTCCGTAGGTGGGCTGCGGAAGGAGAGGGTGGGCCGCGAGGGTCCTGCGGTATGGACTGATCCGCCTATAAAGGGGAGTGCTGAGGAGTTTCATGTGGGGTGGGCTGGCCCACGTGATGATTGGGACGTGGCCACAAGGGAGAGAGGAGCGGGCTTGGGTCTGTGGCTTCAAGAAAAATGTAATCAGAATTTCGAAATTGATTTCGATTTTGAAAAGGAAATTGAGACTCATCAAACGTTACATGTCGAGAAATAATGATCTTGTTTGTTGAAAGGTCAAGACACTTGTAACCCATGGTTTGCGGGGATATCCCAAAAAACAGATGGGGTGGACCTTGGAGATAACTTGTGAGGAGTCGTAGCCGATAGATTAGGAAAACATAGACAACCAAAAACCCGAATATGATCATAAGAGGGTGTTACCCGAAACAAAGCTTGAGCGGGTGTACTATGTGAAAGAGCTTTTGTGGGTAAGATGTTAAGAAGGTAGGTTGTCGTTTCAAGGGAATGGACCCAATAGGAAGGCGGGAGTGAGGCATGAATGAGAAGAGTGCGAGATACATTGTTTAAAGAACGAATCATGCGTTCGACCTTCCCATTTTGGGATAAGGTGGGTGGACAAGAAAAACGAAAGACTAATCCATTAGTGACATAAAACAATTTGAACTAATCATTGTTAAACTCCCTACCATGATCACTTTGAAATGATTTTATGGGTCGTTCGAATTGAGTGGCAACATATTGTCTAAAATTCAAAAAAGATTGGAAAGCTTGGGATTTGAATTTAAGTGGGATAGTCCATACGAAATGTGTAAAATCATTCAATAACACCAAATAATATTTATGACCATTAGTACTACGAATAGGAGAGGTCCACAAATCGGCATGTATTATTTCAAAAGCAGTAGAAGTAGTACTATTTGAATCATAAAAGGGTAAACAAACATGTTTTCCTAATTAACATGAAACACAAAAAATAGAGTCATGCTCCTTAGTACAAGTGATTAAATTTCTAGACCTAAGAAAGCTTAAAGCTGAATCTCCTGGGTGTCCTAGACGATCATGCCAAGAGGGTGAGGCAATAGCAGTGAGTGAAGTGGCGAGACATGTAGATGGATTGGTGTTGGTGGTCACAGGATATAAGTCCCCCGAACTATTGCATATCGTTATTATTTTCCCTGTACGTAGATCCTTCACAAGAAAAACCAAAAGGATCAAATTCAATAGACACGGAGTTATCTGAGGTGAATTTTCGAACATAGATAAGATTTTTAACGATTTGAGGTGCTAATAAAACATCAAGTAATGCTAAAGGGGGTTTTGAGTAAGGCAAAGTAGTGTGACCATAACCTGTTACTAGAATGCGACTACCATTACCAACTAAAATATGATTATTAGTGCTCAAATTAATCAAGGGCTTACCTGAAATATTGGTCATGTGAAAAGTCGCACCCGAATCCACATACCATGAGTTGTCTTACGGTAGTGTCATAGTTGCAAACGAATTACCCAATTCAGTTGGTGTCATAGGTGGCCCGAAGGATAGAGGAGCAGCTTGATAAATTGGGTATTGCATTGCATAGGCCTGTTGAGGATAATATTGTACCCCTGGATTAGGCCTTGGTGGTTTCCCAACTGGTCTTGCTTGCTGAGGATATGGACATGGTGCTGAGGCCCATTGTTGAGGCTGCTGCATTGGCCCCATTGTTGGGATTGAGATGAAACCCAATTTTGTTGGGGATTAGGAGCATTAGAGAATTGTTGCTGTTGTTAGTTGTTCTCACGCCCCTTACCCTGACCACGGCCTTTACTTGCACCTCCCCTTCCCCGACCACGGCCGGTCCCACAGCCACCAACACTAGGTCCGGTGCCGCCACCAGAGCGTTGATGCTGTTGTGGCTGGTTCGACTGCTGTGCGGCGAAGTTTGCAGGGGGCACTCGAGCTTTGCGCCACGAATGAGGTAGCTTGGCTGCCTTGGTCATTTGCACGTCTTGACTCCTTAAGGAGCATTCGTGACCTTGCGGTCTCAAAAGACAGAAGAGGTTCAGTTTGTTGGATGATTGTAGCCACCGTATCAAAATCGATGTGAACAAGCCCCGATACGAGGCGAATAACAAGTTTCTGCTCTGACACCGGCTGGTCTACCGCGGCCAATTGATCCTTCAAGTTCTTTAGCTGCTGACAGTAGGAAGAAACGTCCGAAAAATTAGACAAGTGAAAGGAATTGAATTGGTTTTCAAGGTAAACAGCTCTTGTGTTCTTGTTATCTTGGAATAGGTCTTTCAACTTATTCCAAATTTTTTTAGCAAAGTCTCCACGACATAAGACGGTTTCCAAGAGATCAACTGAAATAGTGCCATATATCCATTGTTTAATAATGGAGTCAAGACGCAGCCATAGGGATTCAGAAATATCAGACGGTCTTGGGGTGTTCGGATCGATATGATCAAGAACATTAAAAGCGTGGCAATGAACATCAAACAATTCCACCCAATTAGAATATTGTACCTTTTCCCGATCAAGAATCAAAGGAATTGCGTTATTGATGTTATTGACAGACAGAGTCGGGTAAAACTCCGTCGATGGAGGAGGTGAAGCTGGCGGTGGTGGGTGGTCACAGTCCTTAGTCATGGCTGTTTTGGTAAGAAACACTACAAGAAAACAACTGGATTCCGATGGAAATTTACCGTCGAAAACATCGAATAATCCGTCGGAATATGGCTTTCCGACGAAATTCCGTCGGAACACGTCTGTCGCAATACAC